GGTTTCCTGACCCAATTTTCAAATATTGTCTTAATGCTTTGGCTTTTGATTTATTCTATTGAGATTTTGTTGAGTTGTTTCTTTGTAGCATTTCATCAAACTATTAATGTGCAAAAATCATCATCCCATTTTAATTCACAAACAGTACTTTTTTTTCTCGAAGTCCTGAACCCAACAAACCCAAATTAATTAATAAAAAAATCAGACCTCAGTTTATAAACATGTAAATTAGCCAACAAAATTCAAAGAAATGACAAGGCACAGAGAACTCTAATTATAAAAAATCACCTTTTATTACACAAACCAAAGACTGGAATCATTTGTTGGAAAATCACCTTTTGTTTCGTTCATGGGGTTAGGAGAATCAAATTCAAACTTCTCCATATATTTTGAATTTGCTGCAACCATCTGTTGAAGAATAGGTAACCATTATAAGAAAATTCAAATAGGGTTCAAAATATATTTGGAATAGAGGGAGATTGAGATTACCACGTAATGTTATTTAAAAACGTTGTTTGAAATGGTCGCTTATCCAACTTCAAGTCATCTTTTTTTAAAAATAAAATTTAAAGATAATTTTTTGTATTATTTTTTTTGTATAATTTTACATATTATTTAAATAATTAATTTTTTTTATTCATTTTAAACTTATAATATTAAATACATCTATTCATTTAATAACATATAAAATTTTATTAAAAAATTATACAAAAAAATTATTCTTATAACACTAAACTTTCTAAATCGAGTGTCAGAGCGGATGATGGAAAGAAAATGTTCTCTAACGGCATGCTTAAGAAAGGGGTTGATTCGCGGGTTTTGAGTACAAGAGGGGTTGATTTGCACTACTTCTTAGTAGAGGGGCAGATCTGCCAAACACTTAAAATAAACAAGCTGAATTGCACCTTCTGCCAAAATAAAAAGGATCAACTAGTCCTACCAACCGTAAGTCCATAACATAGGAAAATGTAAATTTGACCCGTGTCATCAGTTCATGGAAGAAATTTCTTCTTGACAAGTTATTTGATGTTTACACGATCCTAACCAAATATTGATTTTACTGGTTTTCTAAAAGTTACATCGTGTAGTCCTTTTCATTCTCCACAATTTAAGACTTAATTTCAAAATCCACCTCTACATGAAAGCGATTTTGATGGAAGTTTGAATTTATGTAGCAGCCACATTTTCTTCAAGTTTGAAAATGATATAATTTCTGCAAAACTTAAAAACAAGGGCATAAACTTTCATCAAATTCAAAATTGAGGCTATGGACTTTGATCCTTCTAAAACAAGGACATATCATTATTTTAGTTGGTCATAAGGGTCTTGTAGTTTTTTTTTTTTTTTTTTTTTCAATTTACTTTTAGGATGTTGCTGCTTCAACTTTTGTATATTTTAAAACTAATTTCTTTACACACGATATTAAGAATGCATCCTCGCATCGATTTAATAAATTCAAAGAGATTAATTTTCTTAAGTATTAGCTTGAATATTTGAATCTAGGTTTGACCTATAAGATAATAATTGTTTACTAGTGGATCCAATTTAGATTTAAGTGGTCTTGTAAGTCAAAGTTCAGAATTTAAAGATATACTGTGCCATTTTATTAAAGGTGTGCTTTAAAGATCTTATAAAAAGGATTCTTCTTGAGGTGTGTTGGGATAGTAATACAAAATCAAACAGAAAAAGGATCATCTTGATCTTTTTGCAATAAGTAGTGCTACAGAGGAGAAAATTTTAAGATCATATCTTAATATCGATAATGTAATATAAATCATGTTATTCAATAAATTGATATGTATATATAATATTATAAATCTTACTTAAAATAACAATTTTTTTTCATATGTGTTTTTAAAGGTGTAATTAATATATATTTTGTACAATTATTATAAAATTGATAGTAAATACATAAATGTTGATTTTGATTTAATCAATTAATTAATTAAAATCAAGTACATGTTTGTGGTATTAAAATAAAGGTCAATTTTTATAATTTTTTATGTAAACTAATTATAAAAAAAATACATTTATTACACATTTAATATATCATAAAAGCATATGTTAAACAAATTTACAAAGCAAAAAAAAGTATTAAATAATATAAATTTCACACATTTTTAAGAATTGATGTTTAATAGTTTGAATTACACATTAAAAATATAATTTACTTTATAAATTTATTCAAACATTTTTAATAAAATAATATAAAAATAATTTCATTTAATAAATTCACAAAGAGAAACTGTAATTTATTTTATACACCCCTTTTGTTAATTGTTTGGGTAAACTTTATTAGATTTAAAAAAATCCACGCTTATGGTGTATGATTGGATTTGTAAAATATTATAATAAGAGATTGAATTGTTGAAAATGGATGATAACAACAAAACTATTGTAAATTGCCTCTACACTTGAAAATTGGAGGGCAGCTTTTGAATCCAAAGCAACTCTCAAACAAGTGGATTGAGGGGTGGATTAGGTACGAAAAATTGAACCACTATAAATCCTTTTGTTCGAGTTTTTCCTTTCCTAACTTTTAATTTCTACTCTTTAAATTATTAGTTTACAATTGCTTGTGAGTGTTCATTATTTAGCACTTGAAAATTGCATAAAGTTTTTGAAAATCTAATTCCCCCTCTTAGGTTGCCATCATCTGCGCCAACAACGCTCCGACGGTTTCACTTTCAGATGGAATTTTATTCAAAGTGGTCCTTTTGTTCATTCGTGTGAACTGATATTGCCAATTTGTCATGACAACTTAAGATGCTGTTTTTTCTAAATTATTGACTTTTGGTACACCAATGACTTGTTGATCTGAGTAGAAAGAGTTCAGTTCCCTTTAAATAAGGTTTCGAGTTTGAGTCTTGTGAATAGAGAAATAAACGTTGAGAGAGCTTCCCCTTAATGGAACCAACGTAACTTGATTCTAGATTAATCAGGATCCAATGTAGTTATCGGATACTGAGAGATTAATTTAAAAAAAAATTGACTTTTGGTATGTTACATAGAAAGTGTTTGTTTGTTTGTTTTTTTTTTTTTTTTTGATAAGAAATGGAGAAATATATTAAATAATAAGAAAGTACAGTAAAAAACTCCATCACATGGAATATAGCCTAAAGCATGAGAGCCTAAAAACAGAATCAGAAGCATAACTTACAGCCTAATAACAGATTTAAACTATGCCTATGACGAATATAGACAATTAAGTAAAGAGAGCCATCTGCAACTAGAAATCGCAATTGCAATCGTTGTATGGGCTAAATAGGGCTACTAAAGTAGAAAGGAGAGTCGCTATAAGCATCGGAAGCTACTGGACAAGTCCTCGCCTATTTAACCAACTTCATGGGGAGAGCAAGGGATTTTAGCAACAAACAGTCCCCAACCCACAAGTTGCCGCTCTAATTTCCGCCGACTACTTTCAATCATGTGCCCATCATTACCAATCCTCTGAAAACCCTTGCAGGCGAAACTTTGTTAAGGGAACTAGAGCCCCTTTGCCAACATAAGTAGCATGCTCCCGTGCAGATCAGAACCCGATGTGCCACTGCAGCCATATTGGTATTTGGCTGCTAGATTGGAAAGTGGAGTGCGCTAGTTTCTCCGATTGCCACCCTACCAAGATCTCATCTGAGGAGACATGCATAAGTGAAAATCCGATTTAGAGGATGGGAGAAATCCAACCACCGACCAGATCAAGTCCTTCGGTATCCAGATGCAGTCGCCAAAAATCAATCGAAAGGAGCCGTTGCCTTGTGGTCCCTTGGGTTGAAGTTTCCAAAGCAAGACAGACGACGATGATGGAGGAAGAGAGCAAGAGGAGAAACCCTTGTCGGAGAAGAAGAGGAAGAGGGAGGAACTCCTAACCGAAGAAAAACCCTAGGAAGAAACCCATAGCCGCTGCCCCCAACCCTAGGCAGAGCACGGGAGATAAATTTTCATGCCAAGACAATGATAGAAAGTGTTTGTTTTTAAATGACAACTAAGGAAGAAATCTGAAAAAATAAACGATAAGGGATCTGAAATAACTATTAGTGGCACTAGCTTTTTTATAACATCTTATAAGCACTTTAAATGCTAAAAAGCAACAAAAACTTGGACAAGTTGGTACCTCCTAACTTAAAAACCTACAATACCGAGCAACTAACTTCTAAAGTACAAAGGAAAAAAAAAAAAGGAAAAAAAAGAAGCTAAAATGTAACATTTTCCTCCTGGCAAGTTTCTTAACTCTAAATAGAAAAAAAGCTTATAAGCAACACAAAAAGTAGCTCTGCCAAAGAGGCCTTATATCTTTCTGATTTTCTAATGATGCTTGTGTTTGTTTCTGTTCTGAGTCTTTATGTGTTTGTACACTTTCTTTTAACAACTACCAGTGATGCCCTCTGGTCTAGTGGTAGAGGTAGAGTTCAAGTCCTGCTTGTGAGGGTTTATATATATTTAATTTTTTTTCCTGGTTTTGCTTGTAATTTAATTTCATTTTTCTTGTGATTCTTTACATTGGTGTTGTATTTGTAAATGTGTGAAATGGATGTAATTTGTAGTCTGTACACACATACTCCACATAAAAGAACGATTCTCAATGAACGGGAACTGATAACTGCATTTTGCATTTTGCAAGGCTCTGAATTTTGAAAATTTTGGACAATAAATAGCTTATTTTGTTTTATTCATGACATTTACACTTGCATTATGAAACATGCTCATCTCTTTTTTAGATTAGTCCCCATACACCTTTATTTTATTTATTTATTTATGTATTTATTTTTCTGGTTATAACCAGAAACTCATTTGCCTCTGTGTGGAAGGTAGAAAGTCAAGGCTGAGGAGTCAAATTTGCATCTGCTTTTCTTGTTGTCTCTTGTTAAAAGGTTAATAGGTTATGTTTGCTTGCCAGAAAAATTACATTAGAATTTTACTCCAATCATGTTTGCTAGGGAAAAAGAAAATTATACTTCGCATGCATATTACATTAATGGATTGCAGGTAGGTTCTGGGAGGATTAGCAGCCTCTTTATTTATTCAAGGTCTATATAACATAGCCACACTCACACTAGTAGCACCATCACTAATAAGAGATTTCTTACAAACATGACAAAATCATAATTTTGCAGTCATCATGGACGGTAATCAAAAGACGAAACCCACACTTGAAAGCTGATTCTGTGTTTTACAGCTCCAACACCAGGTCTGCAATAAGATTATTGTGTGACTTGGTTAAGTACGCATGTCAGATTTTGGAAAATGAAATTTGAAAATAAGAAGATTGGGAAACTCTAAAGAAATGAATAATTAGATAGACAAGTATGGTGCTTCAGCAACAGAATGAATCTGTATATATATATATAGTTATTTTATTTATTTTAAGTATGGACTTGCATTGTAGATGTTGGGAACAAAAATGCATCTATACTTACAATCTGCATCTGTTTTAATCCAATACTCTCTGTTCCCACTTGAATCATTGCAGCTAATCATGGTCTGAGTTGGTTTAGATTGGCTCTTGTAGCACCGTATGCTGTCTTTTGAAAAGGCTCTCTGAGGAAATACCATTATGTCCTCATCTGCAAGCTCATGACTTCCATTGTTGTGTCCATGGTACAAATTGCACTTCTTGTTGAGATGGGAAAGGATTCAAAAAACATAAGAGGAAAAAGAAACAAGAGCAACCACTACATATATAATTAATTTACAGACTGCTCAATTTGGTCTTTCTATGGTCTGGTGTTTCTCCATGATTCAATGCTCATATCAATGATTATGACTGCAGCATACAAATTGCTAGTGGAATGACATACACAGTTTTTATTTTTCAAAAGCATGAATTATTTTGGAATGATAATAAGGAGATGATATATGGCTGATATTGTGCTTATGGATGTACTGTACCTTGCGCAGATTTGTTTCTGCTGAAACAGAATGAGCGTTTCCATCATCAGCTGCAGTAGAGCTCTTAGTAGCATGGAGCATTTTTTTCTTCAACATCTTCTTCATGACATGAACTGCAGATTTATCAGCTTCCTTCTCAATTCTCTTGCCCTCTCTCTGATATTTTCCTCCATAATTCTCTTCTACTGTTTTAGTCTTATGAAATAGCTCTCCCAATGTTGTCCTGTGTTCCTTTTTTTCCTCAGTAGTTTTTTCTGACCATTCAATTATTGACCCAAAATGATATCCCTGGAGTGGGAAGACTGTAGTTCCATTCACATTGGTGCCTGGACCTTCAAGTGGCTTTTCGCTAGGTGTAAGTGTGCTGCAATGGCTGCTTCTTCCAGCGCTAACATGGCAGTCTCTCCTAGATGAATCATTGACAAGCTTAAACTCGTTCTCTGATATTTCTGTTTCTTTTTCAGTTATATTCTCAGCAGATATGGTAAAGGTTGGTGTTGATGGGTCAGTGATGTTAGGATCTGAACCAAGAGTGCCAACGGCAAGAAAGCCAGGGAATAGCTCAGATATTGCTCCTGATGGTTCTTCTTCATGGTTTCCTTCTACTTGTGCTGCTTCTATACCAGTAAAAGATCTTCGATGGCTGTCTCTCTGAGGTTGCCTGAATGGTTTGCTGAGCTTTGGGTAGAATTGATGGTCATCTTGTGAAACCTGCCCTGCAAGACAAGCACAGAATGCCCAGACACAATGTTAAAAGAAAACTTGGATATGGGGAGGTTAATTATAGGAAAAGGTTCATGCATAACATCTCAGCTCCCTATCATGATAGCATTTTAGTTAAGAGAACGCATAACATTATTTAATTTTTTTTGTAACTATAATATAATTCTACAACTTTTTTTGAAGAGTGGCTTTCAGAAAGTGTTTTTGGTTTTGGTATTGTGTCTGTGATGTCTAGAATCACATGTCAGGTAATTTTGATGGTTCTGTAGATATCATGGCAGATATCAGTGCCATGAATGTTATCCTTGTACAAGCTGTTCCTAATGGTATTGCTTCTGCTTCTACAATGTACATTGTTTTTCAAAAATATTATGATCATAAATATCACGTTTTATTGTGTGCCTGCAGGAATACCTCAGCAGAAAGGTTAGAAGGCTGAACGAGACTTACCAATAGTGAAGTCCTTCAATGGTTCAATGTTATTTTGGCTAAACTTCTGATGCATCCAACCTACAACTCCATAAGAAAGGAGAGAAGAATTCAAGAAAGAGAGTTGCATCCATCCTAGTAACTGCATAAGAAAGAAGAGAATAATTTAGCAAATAGAATTTATAAAGATCATTTTCCTCAAGTAAAAGGTATATACTTTCATCTTGCTCTTCTCAGAAAACTCCATATTTGATCTCTTCTTGTGGGAGATGAATGGAGGAATATCTGCTTAAAACATTTGAGTTGTACTGTTCATGAATGTACTGTTAATTGGTTCCTTTAAGCCTCTTATAATCTGAGATGAAGGTGACTGGAGAAAAACACGCAGGTCATTACAAGAATTGGGCTCACTATTAATTGAAGATCAGATCATGTGGCTAAATTGAGGGCTGGGTCCTACATTCCATGACCCTGGTTACTTTAAATGAGCCATACCATCTCGTGTGCATGAAGATTTTGCAGGTTCTGATGTTCTTTCCACTTTTTGATTGCATAATTTACCATTGTTTTCATTTGACATGTTGTGTCATATGCGAATTATTGCATTGGAGTTTGTGTGCTTTAATAAATACCTTCATACTTTATTTATTAAATGCTGTTGAAGTTATATCTCAAGGTTTTTTATGTAGGCGTTACTCCTCTGGCTGTTCAGGTATAAAGGATTCCTAATTCTGTAAGAATCAAGATAGGTAATACTTGTAGCCCCCTTTTTTTTCTTTTTCTTATTCTTTGTGCGACAGGTAATTGGTTTTTATGTGCAAGGATGATGCGCATAAGCTGAAAAATCAAACTATTCTGGAAATGAAATGACTGGCAAGAATTCATATATTAGGCATCCACGTGGGAAACGCTTAGATAATATAAATGTAGGGCCAAAAGATAATTGTGTGTTATCCAAGTATGGGTGGCCAACATGGAACTAGAACACGAACTCTTGGGTTAAAAACACAATGCGTAACCAATTCCCTGGAGGACACTAAAAGATACATTCATTGTCAATCAACGCTTTCTATGATTCAAGTGTTGGTTTATAGTCCCCAATATGATGTGAGTTCATGTTGGCCGCATTGTTATGGTGATATTTTGTCATGATGCCGACTAACTCAAATTTTCAAATAAACTTTAGGAAAAGTGAGTCATTGATTTTCTCCTTGCTGAACCAGAGGAGTCTTCCAACACAATAATCTAACTTTAACTTCAAATAATTGGTGAATGTCGGTTCTTGATAATGAGTGACCTTGAGATGCAACGCAATTTGGTGTATATGTTTGTCTGATCTGTAGATGGAAGAATATGGTGATGCCCAACACTTCTGTGGTCATGGGTTGTGCAACTGCAGGCGATGGAGATGGACTAACTGGGACCTAACTGGAATGTGAGACTGTGACTCCTACCAGTCCAGGCTTTTCAGTTCGGTAATCACTTCTTAGACAACCCATACTATAATCATTTTTTAGCTTCTGGTTTTACAATGACTTAACAGAATAATCCACTCCAAAATTCAGAAGAATTTAACATTAGGGTAGGCTTTTTTCGTTATCTGTTATAACATAAGGACAACAGCTTATGGAATTCTCTCATGAATTATGTTCCTACTAAGATTTAGATTTACCTAAATTTTCAGGCCTGTGGCCATGGTATCTAAACATGCCTAAAATGATTGATTTGGACATCACATAATAATTGTCTAATCTTTAGTTGATCTTGTTCCATTTCAGTGACTCAAACATCTCATCTAACATTATTCATTTTTTTTTACGCTTATCAAACATCTTAAGACTTAGAGCATTAGCTTTGATAGATGATTTATAATTTTATTCACGTTTATGAAATTCTTGTCTCCAACAACATTAATGCTAATCAAAGTGATCATTTTAATATTCGGCTCAAGTCTGCTCAAGCCCATGGTTCATATTTTGTGACCTATTTGAATCATGATAATCAGTTATGTTTCTTCCGGGTCTAATCTCTTTTATTTTCTTCCTGCTTAAACATTATTGAAAATTAATGCTGAGATATGAAAGTTATGGAATTAGGCTACGTTGGTTCTGATAATTTGATGTAGAAGTTGAACTATTAATTTAAGTCTGATTCTTGGTACCTTATCTGAACATTTTAGAACATGAGATGCAGTGACTGGGGATTCATGTGCAATTGTGACGTCCTACATTGAGAATAAAGTAAATATTTTAGTAGACCCATAGACACTTTTAAATTAGTCTTTTGCAAAATGATGTTTGTCCGTTGCGTATTGGATCTTATTCTAATTCCCACCTAGTCCGGTCTTGCAAACAAGTGCTGAGATAGATGTTGGGTCTTGCAATACAGTGTTAAAACAAGTGGTGTGACCCTTAACAAGATGTTGGGTCTTTCCATAGAGTATCCATGTTCTCGTGCAATCTATTGTATGTGAATTTTCTTGAATGTGAAGCTATTTCATTGATTTTTTTTCTTGGTAGGTGTAGGAGACTGAGTAAAGAATCTGAACCTTGAATCCTTCAGGAAAAAAAAGGGGGAAGAACTGTAAAAAAAAAAAAGCTGAATTAACTCTGTTTGAACTTTGTAGAATGTTACTTGAGTCAAGGCAAATGCTTGACCATTCTCCCTGTAATTGTTTCAAGCTTTGCATCATATTCCTTTCAATGAAATTGTTTTGGAGAATTAAAAGTTAATTTAAAGAACGAGAAAAATTGGGGGTTAATTGCTTTTTTTTTTTTTTTCTTGTTTTTGGTGTTGCACCAATTTGGTCAAGGGCAGCTTCTTTTTTTTTTTCCTTTTTTTATCAAATGATGAATTATACAATAAAAAATAACCTTCATCTTTCCTTAAATCTTTTTCAATTATTTCAAAATTTGAATTCAAAATTTTTAATTTAAAATCTTAAGTTTTTAATCTTTCAAAACCTATTAAGCATTAATAACAATTGATGAACACAATTTCTTCATAACCATGGGACGTTAAAAGTTCTGTTTGGCTGCGAGTAATACTTAATTATTAGTCAAATTATAAAAATAAAGTAAAATTGAGAAACCTATTTAAAATTAAGAATGGTTATAATTTCTATTAAGTTAAGAGATAACTAAGAAAAACATATATTTCTTAGAGAAATGTGGTTAACACATTTTTTAAATCTCTTAATTTAGTTGAAATTATAAAAATCAAGGCATGCATATTCTTAACTTCCAAAAAAGGCTTCTCAATTTTAACTTATAGTTTAATTAAGAAATAATCATTATATCAATCAAACAGGCCCCAAGTAGATGCACTCTTATTCATGTGCTTTTCCATGTGAAAACACATGATACTAAACAAGTAAATGCATCTTGATTTATGTGTTCCAATCTTTATCAAGTAAAAAGAACCAATTAGAATTGTAAGCATGTAAGATTGTGAAAATAGTGTGAGGTAAGAGTAGATGTGAATCAATTTCGTTAATCAATAGCAGGTCATTTGCTTTAAGATTAAGATATTCATAAAATAATGTACCCAAAAAACAAATATTCATAAGAAAAGAGAATTTCTTTGAAAGGCATGAGAAAAGAAAATACCTTCTTGTGCTTGTCGTGCATTGCTAAAATAATTGAACAACCTTAATTTAGACGGTGGAGAGTTTCTAAATGGAGTAAACAAAAAGGGGAGAGATTTTCTCAGATGTTGTGGGGTTCCCGTCAATTAAAAATCAAAATCAATTGGAAAAAGACAATCTAATATACAGGGAACTTTGTCATTGATTTCCTGCATTTATTCATGGAACAATCTGCTCCAGTATATGACAGCCCTGCATTGTTTGGAATCCCAGCTGCCCCACTTGCACGAGCAACAAAATTACTTCATGTGGTAGCCGAATGCATATCTCTTTAAAGCTAAACAATTCACGTTAGGATTAAAGAATTATATAGGAATTAACTCCTAGTAGTGTCATCATTAATCTAAGTCAAGCCGAAAGCTTGGAAAAAAATTAATCAAACATGTAAAGCTCAGTAAGTTGAAGTTTGGGATCAACACTACTTGGTTCAACTTGTTCAGACACCAAAGTTGAAATCTGAAAACTTTTTCTAAATTAATTTTGAAGGCAGATACTACTTTTGCAACACAAGATTTCATAATTCTTGGACAACTTTCTGATTAATTCCTAGCATACGGAAGCTAATTTCTTGTTTATGAACATTAGATTTCTTTAGTGGCAAAGTTAATGCTAGACTATTCACGTAACGAATTAATTAGGAACAAACCCGTGAAGTGCATGTCTGATCGATGCTGGATTATTCATATTAGGATTAAGGACTCAATGAAATTTTATCTTCTTGTCGAGTTTGAGATCAGCATATATTACTTGGCTCAACTTGATTAGACACCGTATCTGAAATCTAAGAACCTATTTTAAATTGATTTTGAGGATATGATTTACTATTTCTCGTCCATTTTACTTGTCATATTTAAAAAAAAAAAAAAAAAAATTGGTCCAATTTACCTAGCAACACAAGATTCCATGATTCTTGGAAAACTTCATGATTAATTCCTTGCATATGGGAGCTAATTTCTAGTTTATGGTACTCCAAATCGAACATTAGATTTCCTTTAGGTGTTGACAAGCATCTTTTCTATGTTTTCTTGTGCCATTCTGATTTTCTAATCCTTAATCAAAGAATTGCTTTTGCAGGCTGCCAAGAAATGATGCAGTTTAACCCCATGGATATCAGGCCACCTATGGCAGCCCGGTCCAATGGCCCCCATAAACAAAACCATTCAGAAATACTAATAAATAAATGCAGAGAATAAATGGAACTCAAGGCATTTTCTGAACCATGAGAGATTGGAGTGGGTGCTCAAAGCAAAGAATGGTCTTTTATACCATTAATCCCTCAAAATTTACCATCTTTGACTTCACCCCATTTTTTTGTTCAAATTTTAAAATAAACCCTATGTTAGATCAAATTATTTTGTTTTATCAATAATTTATTGATTTGAGTGAAAGAAATTCGATTTTCTTTATACAAATCTCAATTTTGGTTTTTATGAACGAAGAAACAGGCGTTAGAAGAGTTTTCCATTTATGGGACTTGATGTTGGTCAACTCTAAATTAATCGAAATTTAATGTAATTTCTAGATACTTGAAGGTTAGTAAAAAAAAAATTATTTGGTTTTCTCAGTTCATTCTTAAACATGTTTTAAAGTCAGTTGAGCTACTATATTATACAACTTAGGTAGTTAAGGTTAGTTCACGAGAAATGCCACTTTTTTCTCTTTTTGTTTGGACAATTAAGATGTTTTCAAACTAACATTCACATACTGAAGATTTTATTTTTATAGTTATATGTTAAAATGCTATTCACTTAGAAAAGACTAGTAATTGTAGAGCTCACCTAAAACAAATGTCTTTTTCCATACAATATTACAATGTCAACTTCCACATAAGCTAAGAGAACTAATTGAGCAATGCCTTCATAGAGTATAGTGGAGGGACTTAATTAGCTCAAAAACAAAGTTGGAGAGCTAGATTGAAAATACAAAATGATTTCAAGCAAACAGAACTTGGGGGTTTTAATTTATATATTCCTTGCAAATAAGGACAAGTTCAAGGCCCTTTTTGGGTTTCCAACCTAGTCTTCCATTTCGAATTCTGGGTTTGAGTGTCAGATTTTGGGGCACCTACCCAAAGACTGGTGGTTTTAAAACAGAAGCATAAATTAAAGATAGATAATCAGTTCTTCAAAGCAATCCAACCAAAAGAAACAAAAGAAAGGCAAAAAATAGTATAAGTTTATAAGCAGGCCCTGTAATGCCAAATACAATCTAATAATATAGTGGCATGACATAATCTCCAACAACTATCAAAATATCCTGTTTTTCATTGGCCCATAACAAAAACCATCTCACAAAACTTATTTTCTAAGCAAAGTAATTTATAATTTAGTGTTTATCAATACATAATACCATAAACAGTTAAAAACAATGCCGTAGATGCACCACACAAAATAACAAAATTACAATTTTCTAAGCTAAAGTGACCTAACTGTTAGAGCTACAAAGCATCCGGGATTTTTGCTCAAGTGGTTGTGTGGGGTGCACCCTGAGCTGTAGGACTTGTGTTGGAATTCTCCCTCCCAGAAGAGAAAAAATGGTTAGAGCTTACTTTAATGCTCAAGTCGAAGTTATAATAATTAGCTCAAGCTATTAGAAAGCTGTTGAATTTAAGCTTAAAGCTCAAACTCATCTTATAAATTTGAGTAGCTAATAAGTAGGTCACAAATTTTAAAATATTTTAAGATTTATAATTTTATAATCTAATTTAATTCTAACTATAATTCACTATAAATTCAAAATTACAAAATACATTTATAAAAAATTTAAAATTAACAACAAATTTATATAATTAACTATATAATTGATTTTCTTACTAAATTCGAGCTCCAATTAGAGTAAACAACTTGTACTGGTATGGTCTCACCCAGGGTCTCCTGACTCAAGTTTTCAAACCTAATTCGAATTCAAGTTGTGTTCAACTCTAGTCTAATTCAAATTCAAATTGTGTTCAAATTCAAGTTGTGTCCAGCTCGAGCCTAATTTGAGCTTGAGTTGTAAGTTACACATCTACTTTGTTTGAAATCATCAGAACAACCATATCAGGAAAAAGAAAACATATTTCAAATATTTTTCCACAGTGACTAATGACTAATTTTTCTTTTTTTTCGAAAATAGGCAATAGAACTAATGACTAATTGGATTGAAGACATAAGGAGCGTTTCATTGAGATAGGCATAATAACACCCAAAAAGATAATATCCTTTCATATTATTTTTTTAGATTTCGAAGGGCTCGAAAATTTCGCCCAAAGCTAGACATTTGGATTCCACAGATTCCATAAACGGGAATTAAATAAACCTAACACGTCCGGCAGCACCTTCCTGGCCAATCCCTTGTGGTTGCTTGCCGTCGCCGTCGCCGCCACAGCCAGTACACCCGCCGCCTCTTCCTCAGCTGCCACATGGAACTCCCTGGTCATGTGTGCCACTTCAGATGCTTTTTCTTCAGTAGCTTTCTCGGGGAGAGGGGCGTCAACAACGAGCGGCGCCGGGGGTGGTTGTTCAGGGGAAGAAATTGCAGAAACGGGGATGTAGCGTTCGGCGTCAGCTGGGACCTGGAGGGGTAGATTATCGGCGCTGCGACGACCCTTTCTAGCTCTGGTGTTCTTGGATTTCTGGGTTTCGCCGTTGGTCAAGTGCTCTTCAAACGCTTCAATAACCTGGTGGATGCGTTCCCGGTTAGCCGAGGAGTCCCAGCGGTGCCAGTAGCTGGTATAGCAATCAAAGCAATCGCAATCGAACACCGGAGGCTTGTGCCTCGTTTTCCACTTGCTATTTCCGGTGGAACCACTTATGGGTGGAGGAAGATGAGACTTCTTGGCCGATTTTTTCCTGGAATCTTGCGCAATCAAAGATGGGTTGGCGGTGGTCGTCTTCAAGGACCTGGTGATCATGTAAGCCAGAACCTCACGGTCCTCGAGGGAGAGAACAGAGGCGAGAGCCAGAATGGCAGCTGGGAGGAGCTTCAAAACGGAGAGATAGTTGTCATCGCCGGTGGCAGAAACGGTGGAGGAGGAGGAGGAAGGAGACGGTGATGGGTATATTTTCTTCTTGAGCTTCATGGTTGCTTCAAATTTCAGAGAAAGGATTTCTGTGGATTTCTGTGTTGGCCTATAAGGCAAAACCCAGGATACTGCTGTCGGGTCTTCTATTTTTTCTAAAAGGGTGTTTTTATATGAATTTCTAATTTGTAGTTCGGACAAAATTAGGATTGTAAATTATTTTTGGGTTTTTTTTTGCTGTAAATTTTTTGTTTTATAGTTAAAATTGTAT